AGGAAGGGAAGGGGGAAGGAAGGGGAGGAGGAAGGAAGGGGAGGAGAAAGGAAGGGGAGGAGAAAGGAAGGGGAGGAGAAAGGAAGGAAGGAAGGGGAGGAGGGAGGGAGGATAAAAGAGAAGGGAGGAAGGGGAGGAGGGAGGAAGGAGGAAGGGGAGGAGGGAGGAAGGAGGAAGGGGAGGAGGAAGGAGGAAGGGGAGGAGGGAGGAAAATGGGAAGAAATGGAGGGAGAGAGGAGTTAAAAAAGAGAGACTTGAGAAAGTGAGTTGAAGGTGGAGAAGTGAAGAGGGCGTCAGGATGGGGGAGGGGTAGGGCAGGTCTTACCTCAATATAGCGATATACAGACACCTGTCCAGACCATCGAAGATCATAGAAATGAGGAGCCGCAATCAGCACCACATCTGAGAAACCATCCTGGTCAATGTCACAGACCTCAATCTCTGAGCCAAAGTACGAGCCCACCTAAGACCACGGAGGAGATAGTTTGCCAATGACTCCATCGAGGTGCAGAGCCCTCCAATATACCTCTCTGCAGTGTGATAGGATGGTCTCTGTCTAGTCTCTCCCCTGTCTTCAGTAGAGTGGGTCAGTCTCTCATACAGAGCACTCCAATATACCCTCTGTGCTTTGTGTTGTGTGCGTTGTCTTGTGTTGTGTGCGTTGTCTTGTGTTGTGTGCGTTGTCTTGTGTTGTGTGCGTTGTCTTGTGTGCGTTGTCTTGTGTGCGTTGTCTTGTGTTGTGTGCGTTGTCTTGTGTCGCAGAGCTCTCCGGTACCCACCTGCTCTCCTGAGATCTGCTGGATCCTCTCTGCCTGATCTGGTGTCTCTCGGAAGATGGTCACAAGCCCAACATATTGATATCTTGGGGCTCCAGCCACGTAGAAGATGCCCTCAGGGGCCTGCAGCACCCCCACAGAGTATCCTGCAGATTGTCAGAAACTGTTAGAGAACACTATAGGAAGTCACAAGTCTCACAAAGGTTTTGTGTGGCCTGAGGAGCGTTATCAGGTAGAGGAATGGAGAGGACAGAGATGAGGGGATAGACAATGGAGAATGGCCAAGAGCTCACACGCTATGGTTCTGCCAGCAACCTCTGCAGATAGACAATACTGTGATTGGATAGACTCACCCCGGGAGCTCACACTCTATTAACTGATGCAAACACTTTCCTGTCACTCCCTTCACCACACAGGTGAAATCCATTACACATCTAATATCACTCACCCAGATATCCATTTTTGTCCTCCTCCTGGAGAGATATGTTAATCAGCTTCTCTGGTCCAGAAATATTAAGAACTCCACCAGACCAATCAAAGATCCCGGGGTCTCCCAGGAACTGCCGATCCTGCAATGGAAATAGATCACAGCTACAGTATACACCACCAAATCTATAACACCTCAATCCAACCAACCCAGAGTCTACAGCCAATCCAACCAACCCAGAGTCTACAGCCAATCCAACCAACCCAGAGTCTACAGCCAATCCAACCAACCCAGAGTCTACAGCCAATCCAACCA